AACTGTCGACACATTAGAAATGGCCCTGAAAAGCGCCACAAGTCAGGGGTTAGGAGCTGGAGCGACAACCTCAACCACAAGCAGTGGGACATCATCTGGAACTAGTTCCGGAACATCAACTGGTACTAGTGATGGCACCAGCTCTTCATCGTCGTCTGATTCAGATTCAGAAACTTCCTCTACCCCTTCACCGACAAGCACAAATAACACTACATCGACAGCGGTCGCTACACCGGACGACGCCTTACTGCAGGGAATCACGTTGACCCATCGCGTTCTCCTATCCACTCTTGCGTCCTATGGGGTCACTCCTTTCACGCCTACTGGAGAGCAGTTTGATCCTAATTGGCACGAGGCACTCTTCGAGATACCGAAGGTTGCCGCACAGAATATTCCAGTTGTGAAGGATATAGTCGGAGAAGACGGGCTAGTCAAAAGTGGAACTGTTGTAGACACGTTCAAGATTGGCTACAAAATCAAAGACAGGTGTCTTAGAGCCGCCCAGGTTGGCGTTGTTGGCGAAAATTAGATTATTTCCAGGTTTCTTAGCCATAATTTTGTATAATTGCTATTTTTTAATTCACCACTTCGAGCACTCTGCTACCTTGTCTAAAATCCAATACCAATGGTTGAGCTTGCAATAACGAGTCCTTGAAGAGGCGTCGAATGGTGATGAACATGCGAACGCTTGCTCTGTCCGAATTTGGACGGCACCACAAACTGTGTTGGCCGTAGTAGCTCATCTATCTGGGCTGCATCCATTCTCAATTGTTGAGCTCGATTTCATCTTCGCCTTCAAACCCATCTTCGACTTGTTTTGTTGGCGTCCTCAAATTTCAAGCATTCGTCTCCACTCAGCCACTACAAGCACCTAGTATACCAGCATATTTCTGGTATAATATCTTACACAAGTACCCTACCTGAGGAACGTGATCATATTTTACCTACAGAACGTGTAGGAACGGCCAGCATAACTCAGAATAAATTTGACCTCCCTTCGATTCGGTCAGCTGGCGTCCATCTGTAAAAATGAACGGAGTAGCGTCAATTTTTGCACCCAATATGCTGCCTTCTACCCTCAACCTCACTCCTTTACCCTCTCCTTGGACTGAACACATCGCGCCGACTGGTCACTACTATTACTATAATCCTATCACCACGGAATCCACTTATATTCGCCCGATATCCCTGACTACCCTACTATCTAACGCACTTTCAAACGTATCTACTACAAAGAAGAAGAAAAAGAAAGAAAAGCCGTTACGAAAACAGGCTATCCCCGATACTCCTTGGTTGCGCGTTGTTACTAATCGTGGAAACGTCTTTTATGCGAACAAAGATACGAAAGAAAGCACATGGGATGTGCCTCAAGGTCTCGAAGAAGCGCTTGCTGCGATGGGCCTAGACGAAAGCGATGAAGAGGAAACAGCTGAGCAGGAGGAAGAGAAGAAGGCCGTTCTCTCCCCCTCTGGAGCGAAAAGGAAGCTAGAAGAAAACGAGACTACGCCGGAGGAAGAGAGGAGGAAGAGAAAGAAGCTCGAGGGTAGTACTGCTCCAAAATCTACGACTATTTCGATGGAAGATGTGCAGGATGAGGACGAGGATGAAGAAGCATGGCAACGTAGGATAGCCGAAGAAATGGCTGAGGAAGCTGGGA